TGGTCCCTAATAGTGGGTATTTAGGGTATGTGGGTTTAGGGTTTAGGGTTTTAGGGTTTAGGGTTTAGGGTTCAGGGTTTAGGGTTTAGGGTCTAGGGACCCCCCTAAACCCGAAGCTCTTAGCCCGACACCCAGATCGGGGCTTCGCCGAGGAGGGCCGGCATCCGCATGTCCCGAAACCTGAGCTTTGGGGTTTAGGGGTCGAAAGTTTAGGGGTAGGGTTTAGGGTTTAGGGTTTAGGGTTTAGGGTTTAGGGTTTAGGGGGCCCTAGGGTTCCTAAAAAGGAGCTTCGGGGTTTAGGGGTCTAACATGTAGGGACCTTAGGGTTCCTTTAAAAAGCCTTCGGGTTTTAGGGGTCGAAGGTTTAGGGGCCTTACTAATTTTTAGTGGGGGTTCCTAAACCCTAAACCCTAAACCCTTTAAGGGAGGGTTTAGGGTTTAGGGTCTAATAAAGCGGGCCTTAGGGTGCCTTTAAAGGGTTCCACAAGAGCTTCTTTTAGCGTTAACGGGGCCTTAATAATGAGAGTAGGATTGTTTTTTTGGGGGGGTCCTTATTATAATTTCAGGCTTTAGGGTGTAGGGTTTAGGGTTCACGGTCTACATAAACCGGCGTTTTTAGGGTTTAATGTAGCGGCCTTACTAGTTAGAGTAGGGTTTTGGGCTAATTATACTATATTTATACTAACAATGAAACCACAAATACTATAGGAAATTATTTAAGCCGCTATATTACCTAAACCGGGGTTTAGGTTGGAGTTTAGGGTTTGCGCACCCTTCAGGTTTAGGACTTACGTTTTACGGTCTTGGGCTCAGGTTAGGCTAAGACTCTCGTCTCATGAACCCTACCAGTAAGAGGTGGGATGCATCGAGATCAGTTTAGACATGTTTGGGGTTCAGCATACAAGTAAACAAAGAAGGACTTTTTAATGTAGCGTCATATGTTGGAACCCCCCTCAACCTTGAACCCTAAACCCTAAATCCTAAACCCCAAACCCCAAACCCTAAACCCTAAATCGCAAATCTCAAACCCCAAACCCTAAACCCGAAATCCTAAATCCTAAACCCCAAACCCTAAAATCCTGAACCCCAAGCCCAAAACCCCAAGCCCTAAGCTCTAATCCTTCGAAACCCCCGACTGAAGACTCCAGCGCGAACTCCACGAAACTTTCCAAGCTCTGAGACCTGATCCCCGGAATCCTCCAAGGCCTGAATCCCTGACACCATTGTAACGTAGGGGCCTTAAGAATTGGAACAGGGTTTGGGGGCTCCTTTAAGGGATCCTTAAAAGTTCTATAAGAGTTTTGGGTTTAGGGGCCTTAATAATTAGAATAGGGTTTGGGTGTATTTTAGATTAGACTTGGAAAAAGGACCCCCCCCAAAAAAAAACATAGTGTAGGTAATTATTAAGGCGCCTATATTAGCCCGCAAGTCCTGAAACTACTCAGCTCAACCACGAATAACAAAGGGTAGCTTGCGGCCGCTTCTCTGTATGATCGAAAGGGGCAACGGGTACCCTCAGCACCATAACGTGTGGGGGACAGGTTCTAGTAAGGGTTTACCATTTCAGCAGGATACTTCAGTACTCTTAGGGTTTAGGGTTTTGGGGGGTTTTGGTTTTCGGGGTTGGGGCTTAGAGTCATGCTCAACATGTGTCTGCCATTCTGTCTGAGCGTCATCTTTGTCGCAACATTAAAGTAGCACGACCACCCCGTACCGCTGGATCCCCACATGTTAACACACACGAGAGGGAGCAGTGTCCCAGAGTCGCCCGCTATTTTGGAGGCAAGGGATGTAACACTCAATTCCCACAGTCCAAAAAGCAACTACTGCGGGACCTTGTAGCAACTTCAAGAAATCTTCCTTGTAAGTCAACACAGCGACACCCTACCCGTTATGCTGGCTTAAAGTCAAGGCTGTAGCTGCGCAGCTTTGACCCTAACAAGGCCTGCTCTTTAATGCCCTTCGGGGCATGCTGTACCAGGAAAACAACACTAACTTCAAAAAGCCGCAACGGCTGAATCCTCGAACTTCACCCCCCGAATCGCCAAGAAGCATGGAATCGGTATAGGGCACCTCGAACAGGGAACTTGCAAACCCTGAAGAAGCCTAAGCCCAAACCCCTAAACCACTTAACCCTAAACCCTAAACCCCTAAACCCTCAACCCCTAAACCCCTAAACCATTTAACCCTAAACCCTAAACCCTAAACTCTAAACCCCTGAAGCCCTAAACCACTAACAAGGCTCCAGAAGATCCATCTCTGGGCCAGGGTCAGGGTTTCAGAAAGGGCTACAGTAGCCTGGGGCCTGGCCCCATCACAGCCCGCTCTCTAGGGCTTAAAGAGTTTATACGGTACGGAGTTAGGGTGCTAGGGTTTAGGATTTATAGGGCCTGGAAGGATCTAAAGGTGTTCGATGAATCGTTTCCGTTTGACAGATCGGCAGTCTTCAAGCCTCCTACTAATCTCTAGATCCTGTGCATGGGTTGTAAGTTCCAATACATTCAGAGAGGTATGAGGTGAAGACCAGAGAGATGCAGAAACGGCCTTCTCTCGCACACTCTAGCATCTGCAACAGGCTTACATCCTGGGGAGCCGATACCCCAACGCTTAAAGTCTCGGCTTTCATTTGCTGTCACGCCCACATCTACAACAGGAAATCCCAAGTGTTCAAACGCCGAAAATTGCATCACCAAGGTGTGAATACCCGTCCAGTAGGGTTTAGGCTTGAGGATTTGAGGTGACATAGATATCAGCACAGCTCGAGAGTAATCATATCGCAGATGTGCACTTGAATGTAGCAGGGGTTAGCGCCAAAAACACCGAACCGAACATCAGTTGCACCTCAGCTAGCCCAAACAACCCTGAAGCTTAAAACCCTTCACTATAAACCCTAGACCTGAACCCTTTGAAAAGACGAGTAACGCTTCCGTGAAATCCCATGAATCGCAGCCCAGCCGCATAGTGATCTAGGAAGTGATCCATTGCAGAAAGACCTGACAATCCTAAACCCTAAACCCTAAACCGCAGACATGTGTTCTTGTTCGTTTTGCTTTTCGACCGGTGGATGCCGGGCTGCAGGGGGTAATATCGGGGCCCTTGGACCCAAGCTAAAACGCGTGTGTTCTATGTTCCATTGCCATCAGGTTTATACGGGAGGAGACAGGAAAGAATTGCCAAAGAACATCGGGTTTGGGAGTCCCTTAAATATAAGGGTATGCTATACTACACTTAGAATAGGGAACGCCCCCCAAATAGTATAGGTAATCATTAAGGCCCCTATATTGCTTCCTTAAGCTTACACACTTAAGCCCCGTTGAGAGAACCGGATAAACAGACATCCTCCTACCTGGGGCCTAGGGGGTCTTGTGCTTTTCTGAAGGCCCAGGTGTCCGATTGTGGGATCGTGGTGCCACAGCACCTAAGCGAGCTTCCGCAAGATAGAACACCCCATGAAATACGTAAACACAGACGAACCCAGAATGGAACATCAAGTTGCGCCTAGCTCTCTACCAGCGTTGCAAACCTTGTGAGAGCCTGGACGTGTAACCCTAAAAATACAAACCTGCCTTTGCGGGTCTGGACATCATAGGGTACAGCAACGCTTCCTTCTTGAAGCGTCCAGTGGTGGACATCAATCCTCGGCAGTCTGCTAGGGGTGGTGTCGAGCTTCAGGGTTCAGGCCTTCCAGCTTCCTTGGTTCAGGAAATTAGGGCTTAGGGTTTGTAGGCCAATACAGCTTCCTTGATTGTCGCCTTGATTTTACAACTGCTACCAATTATAGTGTTTGAAATGACCCTTAAACTCTAAACCCAAAAGTGATCACTGGCGGTGTTGATGTTGTTAGTTTTTGCTGTCGTCACCAAGGCTGCTACTGTAGTACCACCAACACGTCGACAGCGCCGGCGAACACAACGACGAAGAGTGTTACGATTTCTTCTGCTCTATTTACTTACTCGTGCAACAGGTCTTAAGGTATAACACCCCAGATTTACTGACAGAGCAAGTTTTGCGCCTTCGATATATCTTTCCTTCTCCCCGTCTTACGTACTTTTTCGTTGTTTTGCGCTCGATATTTGTTCTCCCTCTCTCTCTCTCTCTCGCTATGAACATTAAGTGTTTACAAGCACGCAACAAGTATTTCAAGAACGTGCCAAGTTGGGGCTGTCGCTTACGGCCAACAGCATACTAAACAAACGCCAAACGCCGAATCTGAAGCGCCCCGTAAACTCAAACCTCCAACACCCAGCACCCCAATAACCCCAGCATGAACACCTAGCCAACCATGACATGCAAACTTCCTAAAGCCCTAAACCCATGAATGCAGAGCAAGTTTCTACAACCACCCCTACCAAAATGAAATGTCCTTGCCGAGCCACTGGTCGCGCATGTAGAGGTCGCACAGGACGGCGCTGCAGAGAATATGACCTTGGAACGGTTCGGGTCCCGGATTTCAGGTCCAGGTCCTGAGGGTTTAGGGTTTAGGGTCTAGGGTTGAGAGTTTAGGGGTTTAGGGTTTTTGGGTTTAGGATTTGGGGTTTGGAGTCTAGGGTCCAGGGTCTGGGTTTAGGGTTTAGGGGTTTAGTGATTTAGGGTTTAGGGTCGAGGGCCTAGGGCTTAGTGGTTAAGGTTTAGGCTTTAGGGTCCGGGACGTATGGCTTTACGGTTTGGGGCTCTTCTTGGGCTTGATGCCAGCCGAGTGTTTGGGGTGGCAAGGGTTTAAAGATTCAAGGCGGAAAGGGGTGTACTCCAGACGTTAACCAGCTGCATGATCGCGTATCTTGCAGATGTATACCACCATCATGGCAGTCGGCCCCCAAAGCCCTCTCGAATATGACTTGGGAGGTGATTCCATGAGGCCTTGTATAATCACAGGCCTGACAAGTCAGAGGGTAGGGCACGGAGAGTTTCTACAAACGGAAAAGCCTTTGGGAAGCCTCAGGGATAGCACTACGAATGACCCCGGCCCCAGGATGACTCATGTCTGATGTCACTTCGTCTGCAGCTTTGTCTCAAACTGGGTCTGCCGATTTGCGAAACTGCTTTCTGGAGTTCGTATTGATGAATGACATGTTGAACCTGCGAAGGCTGCTTCAAATCAAAGCTTAACAACTTCAATCGACAGGCTGCCGGCTCACCTGCAGACCCTTGCCCCCCCGGTGGTCCTGGGCTTATAGTTTTGCACATTCGACATGTGCTTTTGGCACACAAAAGCACACTAAGCATCCTAAACCCTAGACCCTAAACCCTAAACCCTAAACCCTATCCACAGCTACCAGTGGCATGCGCACGAAACTCGCTTGGCTGGGGTGGAATGGAGCGAGGGCCTGAATTATTCATCCATCAGAAGAGGGTGTTGGGGCCATGTACTAGGAACTTTCGGAAAGATTCCTGCAAACTGCTCAGACCTCTGTAGTAGGGTTCTACGACTTCAGTCTTAGTCTTAGGATTTTTTGGCCTTAAGATGTAGAGAGATTTCCTCATGTGGGGCTTAAGTGTCAAAGTGTTAGGGCTTCAAGTCTGCACACGAAACCCTAAATCCTAAACCCTGTAAGCCCTAAACCATGAGTTCAAGGCTGCACGCGAAACCCTAAATCCTAAACCCTGTATACAAACCCTAAACCATGAGGAGAGCGCCATCGCCGTAGTACTTGCAGACGCGTTGGCCAACCACGGAATGCTCCCAGTCCTAGCACGGCCCCTAAACCCTAAAGCGCTTCAAGCTTGAAGGTTCATGTAGAGCTCTTAATAATGAGAATAGGGTTTTGGGGGTTCCTTATCATAAGTATGATACCCCCAAACCCGATTCTGATTATTGAGGCCCTATGTCAGTTGTGTTGTTTGAATGCTTTGTCCGACCAGACTACACGGAATCCCTCAAGCTTCGGGTCCTTTAGTTTAGAGGCTTGGAGTTGAAGTTTCGGGTGTTCGAGGGCAGGACCTGCGATCCGACTTTCTGCCGAAAATAAGTTATGACATCAAACAGTTCAATGAATAGTTCTCGAAGTCGCAGGACCAGGGGAAAAACACATACACTACAAGCATGAACAAGGCCCTAAACTGAAATGCTAGCTGGCTCGGCCCATCGAGATTCTGCACCCTGAGCAGCAACTTGTGCGCTGTAGGAGTTCATGCTCGTGATTCTTCGGCGACTCACAGCGCTTACGGTAATGCCATGCAAAGCTTCCGGGTGTGTAGAGTAGTTGTTTAGCTCAGTTGGCCAGGAAATCCTGAACCCCACATCTAGTCCAAGTGTGCTGCAAACTCCATGAGCGCAGGGGCTTTCAGCTTGAACTAGGGGTTCGGGTTTGAACCTTAGGAGTTGTAGAACAGTTATAGGGCTTAGGGTTGAGGGTCTAGGGCTCCGCAAATTGGAACACTCTCTCATGTAGGCTATACGTTGTCGGGCTGTAGGATGAATGACTGAAGGGATCAAGTTTCAGGTCTGCTGTAGACCTGTGCTACTTTGAATGCAAGAGCCCGCTGCGGACTTCCCTTGATTAAACCAATGGTTCTCAAACCACGACAAGTCCATACTACACTCAACAAGTTTGACTCAGTCGGGGATGATTCCGGAACTTCCCTGTCCAGCAGCTTGTGGGCCCAGAGCTTAACCTTCGGGTCTCTGTTGGACGTTATCACACACCGAAGAAATTGCAGATAAGCCATGGGAGGCCTAAACAAAGCCACATTTGAACTCGTGGGCTCCAGCTTCATATAGGGGCCTTAACAACTACACTAGGGTTTTCGGGGTAATTATGGTGCTCATGTTTTACATCAAACCCGAAGGACTAGTATTGGTAACAAGTATTGTTTCAGGTTTGCTTTTTTCTGCCATTCTGAGTCCTGTCTGTGCGAGTTCGCGCTGATCAGCAAGCCCCTGAGCAGGAGGTAAGCCTCCTCGGCGTGTAACGTAGGGGCCTTAATAATTAGAACAGGTTTCAAGGAACCCTAACAGTAATATTGGCAATTATTTAGGCTTCTATATTAGAAGGTAAGGTCTCTATGGGCAGGTCTCTCAGTTAGGTTTCCTTCTAGGATCCTTTTTGAAAGGATGCCGCAATTACTGCTTTGGGGGAGCTGCATAGACTGGGTACTGCCCCCATACAGTAACAGTCTATAATAGGGCTACTATTAAAGGCCTAATATATCCTTAATATAAATATTATCCAACTGTTACTGAGTGGGGGCAGTACCCAATGCTGCATAGACAGGGACAGATTCAGGGAACAGGGCCGATCAGGCTCTAGGGGTTAGACAACAAGGTAATGTAGGGGGGCCTTTATAATTAGAATAGGGTCTTGGGGTATGATATACTGTAACTATGATAAGGGACTCCCCAAATAGTATAGGTACTTATTTAAGCGCCCTACTTGAGCGGCTGACGTCGCACGGTTTAGGTTTCAAGGACTTGACGTTTCTTCGAACGCCGTACTTATTACTACAAGCGGGATATCCCTACTGTAGTGCTTGTGGTGGCTAGGCTTATCAACCAGGGACCTACCTTCAGCAGCACAGTCAAACAACCGTGAACCCAAATCAGTCTTGGTGCTCTTGTAGAATAAATCACATCTACCTCCAAAGAACGGCAACATACTTCGGACATGATAGGGTGGAGGGGCACACGTATATCGTTATATCATATTAGCGAAACCTGAGGAATAGTAATGGCAACTATTCTTTTCCGTATATAAAAGGTCGTCTGGTGGACCTCTCTGCTGATCTTTGCAAACTTAGTAAACAACGCACATCAAGAAACCATAATATCCTAAACCCTAAACCCTAAACCCTAATATCTGAACTTAGGAAGACCAGGAATCCTCTCAAAACATCAGCTTAGTACTTGGGGCAAAAGGCTTCAGGCAAATCTACGAAGCACTCACCCTTGAGTTTAAATCGCGTCCCAGCTGCAGAGAGAGACAGGCCGAAGGGAACGATCTTGGGATGCTCCGGATCAATCTGCAGTCGCACATACAGACTTGTCTACAGGTCCACGATGCCTTGGGTGCAGGATTACCTCTAGACCCGAAGCCAAGATGTGAGTTGAAAGAGGAAGTTCTGAGCCCAATGCCCCAAACTCCCAAGTATGAACCTCCAAAGTTGATACTTCAAAGCCCCAACAGCGCTCAAGCTGCCACTACAGTGTAATCAAGCCTGTACCGAAAGACTGGACAAAATCCGCACCGTCAAGGCTTCCAGGAGACTCCCTCATTTTCATGAGTCCCTTTGAAGTACAAGTTTCTGCAGTCCTTGGTATGTCTCCCTGTGGGAGATTCATAGAGGTATGGTTTTATCAGGTAACCTACGAAATGCTTCTCTTCAGAAACAACCATACAGAAGAGATAGCTTTCGGAACTGCGGATCCGGCCGGAAGCTCAGTACTGTAGGGGCCTTAAAAATTAGAATAGGGCTTTGGGGGTTCCTTATTATTGTTATAGGAATAATATGCCCCCAAACCCTATTCTGATTATGAAGGCCGCTATATTCAGCTTGCTTCAATTCCCAAGCCTCTTGCATGCTGGCTTCATGCCAATCCCAACTGTCTTTTGGCACCCTGGTCCCTGGTCATGCCGAAATGAAGGCTGCATTCGTGGGTAGTTCAGGGCTGTCTACTGAGCGTACCAGAAGTCCTCACAACTTGCGTGGCTCACGTTTCTGGGCCCAAAAGCAATGTCTGTCCACAGAATCTAAGAGACAATAACGGCTTTAAAAAACGGAACTAAACGGTCAGAAACCCTGACAGTTCGAACTTTGGAGGTAATGAAGAACTGAGTCACAGCCTAAGCCCTAAGCCCCGAACCCCAAACATCCCCAAATCCTACAGCCTAGCCCCTAAACCCTTAACCCCACAGCCTAGACAGTATAAGACAGTTATAAACAACAGGCGCCTTGTAGTCGGAGGCATGGGAGCCACTCTCCTCGCTGTCCTCCTTAGCATCCGACCCCGAGTCCTGCGGCATCCGATGCTCTTCGCAGACGAAAGGCACGAAAGCCACTCCGAAGCAACTCCCCCTGCCCCCTCTCTCCGAAACAACAAGATAAGAGCAGCCGCACCCAAATAAAACGAATGGTTACGCCCAAGAAGCAGTGCTCGTCCGAATGTTAGCGATTCCCAAATGTGGGGTCCTTTGTGTTTTTGGGAGCTTCTTAAAAGGTCCGACGCTTGCAACCCACAGCGCCAAATCAACCTCCGGATGATTCGCAGCCGTCGGAAGAGAATAAAGTTTAGCTTTTTAGCTTCAACGCCATGCAGCTACTATCTCATGCGCCTCGTGCCAAGAAGCGGTAAATAGCTGGAGGAACAGATGAGAAGTTCCCTTAGAGGCTACAGAAGCCTTATAGCAGACCCCATGCTTAGCTTCAGAGTCTTAAGCCCCATTAGCGTTTAGGGGTTTTAAGGTCCCGAAACTCCTCTTGGCCGTCTTCCTCCGGTGGCTTCTGCTCTTCAACCGCGAAGCTATGTTGCTCCTGGCTCCAAACCAAAACCCTATGCCTAGCTTTCGCGTCCTTCCTGTATGCATCATGGTACTGCGAGGTACTGTACTGCAATGCGAAGGGAAAGCAACGCAATGCAATGTAATGCCAGAAGTGAAACGGAATGTCCTGGATGCATGTATGTACACATGTATGTGTTAGATGCACATGTATTTGTGTGCGTGCACACTTACATAACTGTATTGTTAGAGAAGTTCTGCACATAAATTGAAAGAACTTGAGGGGCACAAGCCATTGATAAGCTAGAAATCGCAGCGTGGCGAGCCATGCAACATGCACATTGCAAATCTTGCGTCGCATCGCTATCTGGTCCTGCCCCAGCAAACAAAGCAGCCTCACTGGAATGCTTCACGCTGCATTAACTATTCACTCTGTACCCTACTTGCCCCAGAAGTTTTGGGTAGTTCTCTAAATCAGGGTCCCTTTATGTCCCTTTCTAGGTCCCCAATATAGTACGGCACCCTTATAAATAAGACCCTAAAAGGGACCCAAATTTAGACAACTACCCATATGGTGGTAGGACGACGACGTCCACTGACGACGCTCTCTACTGGAGTGTTAGTACGAGAACTAGCACTACTTAACCTCGGCCTACTTGATGATTGTTGGGACCGCCCTTCCACCATACGGTTGATGGTATCAATCCTGCGTTACCTTAAGTTAAGGACCCTAAACTCTGGGGATTATGGTATATTCCTTATAGTATGGGTGAGGATTTATATCATGAGCCGTAGTAAGATAGTATTACATGGACACCCGGTTGATAACCAGAGCGCCGCTGACCATCCCTCGAGTCGTAGAAAGCGGCGTCGCGTCTACTGATAAGTGGAGTCCAGAATTCTCGGGACAACTGGCTGTCGCATCCGAAACACGCCAGGTTAGTAGGGTTCATGTATGTTTGTCGGGCTCAGGGTTGTAAGTTTCGAAAAGCTGCGCATGACGTTTAGCTTTCAGGGTGTAGGGATAAACACCAGGCATCGTAAGCGTGACTCGAAAATCAGGATTGAATAAAGAACGTCGATCTGAACTACGAACAAATCTAAATTCCAATCAAAACTGTAGCCCTCTAAACACGGCAAACCCAGGGAACCGTCACCTCCAGCGCTGCATTGGCCTTCGAGCGCGGGGAGTCAGGCACCTGCAGTCTCTGTTGTTGGTTTGTCTAAACCCTAAAAATCCGAAAAATCCGAAATACGGAACTGGCTTGGTTCTAGGATCTTCACCATAAACTTGCTCAGCCCGAAATGGGAGCTGCGATGGAGACAGCAGGTAGCGTAGAGACCTCAAGACTAAGGATTTTGGAAGCTTTTACCCCATCGTTCGGAAAACTCGAAGAACAGTATGACAAGCTATTCAGGTCTCTTTATGGCGGGTACTCGGCGTAGTGTGATCAGTGGGTCCTAATCGGGACTATATGACTGAACAGAAAATGCGTCCATCCACAGGATCAGGGGCTTCAGCAGGCGGTGAAGATTGGGATTCTCTAAGTGCCCTCACCAAATGAAATGGGCTCTCCCTACTGTTTCTGATCGTTCATGTACAGTTCAAGCAGCTTTGGCTGCAGACCACACCGGCAAACAAACCGGGCAATAGGCAAGAGTAACACATGCCCATTCGTTTGAGAGCATCCTCATTGCACCAATGTTCCAGAATTAGCCCAAGGTGCCGTTCACTCCGAACCCGGCACCGGTAAACCCGCGAAGCCTTTGGGACTTTTTGGGGTTCAGGCTTTAGGGTTCAGGGTCCCGGCACCATCCCTGGGGCGACCTTGCTTCTGGACCGGGTCTTGGGATGACGCACCCGAGTTCGTAAAAACTTATATCCCTAAGCCCTAAGCTCTGAATGAACCCCGCAGACCTAGAGCATGAATCCCTTTTCTGTAGCTCAGGTCTTTCCTCTTATGTTACTAGGACAGGCTCCGAGTTGGTAAATCACACAGAGCAGCTGTCGCATGTGTGTCATGAGCCATCGGGTTCAGGGTTTGAGGTTGGCGGGCGCAACCTTTTTGAGCTTGCAAGGCTTTAGCTACAGAAAAGGTGTTTAGGGTGTAGGGTGACGAGGAGCATTATTCCGATTCTTCCTTCGTAGACTGTGTCTTCTTCTGCAAAAAGATCAAGATACCGCAGAACTCTATTGCAATATCTTCATTCCTGTATGTTCTGTGGTTTGATGCTCATACCCTAAACCCGAAACCCCTAAACCCTTGAGCTCTACAGATTTGTCTAGGCTCCTGTGTCGTGTTGCGCGCCGGCCGCGGCTTCGTTTTGAAGGTTCTTCCACAGACATACAAGAGCATAATGTATCCGGGTTTTGGGTTTAGGGTTTGGGGGTTAGGGTTTAGGCACCAAAGCCCTGAACACAGAAAGCCATAAACGACTCAAAGAATGCACAGCAACCTCCTCCATAATCGCGGGACATGGCAGATTTAACGTGGTGTTGTCCACCAAGGCTACCCACACATGCACTATAACCGACTAGCAAATCTTCTGACCCAACGAGTCAAGACATCACATCTACAATCTAGAAGCCCGAAGAGACGCTGTGTTACAGCGACAGGAGTCCATGCTGAAAACTGCTTTTGATTCCGTGCTAGTTTACGGGAGATCAAAAATCCTGAACCTGTACCGACCTAGACCCCTAAACCCTAAACCCTAAGCCCTTAGCCCTAAACCCTAAGCCCTTAGCCCTAAACCGACCAAGACTTCGGGAGTGCAAGAGCTTCAAACCAGCAACCTCTGCGCGAAACCAAAGTCAAACTCTGGCGCCCGGAATGTCACACAAAGCCCAGAACCCCTAAACCGTAAACCAAAGCCTCAACCCCAAAACCCGAACCACTCGACCTCCTCGGTTCCCGCCCTGGCACCCTAAACCTGGGTGCAAAGCCCTACAGCCGCAAAACACACAAAATCTTGCATTTAGTGTGCGGGGGGCGGGGGGGGGAGTTATGTTAGGGTTTAGGGTTCAGGGTTAGGGTTAGGGTGTAGGGTTATGTTATGTTATGTTGTGATTATACCAGTGAACCCTAAAGAATAACGTTAGTACCATTTTATCAAAAGCCCCTATACCACGTCCTCTGCAGCCCTGGCACATCTCGTCCGGCCAGCAGCTGATCGAGTGTGCATCCTGACTGACAGCAAGTTCAGAGACAGCTTAGGGGTTAGGGACATTTTTGGAGGGGTTCCTTAAGCGTTTAGGGTTTCGGGTTAGGCCCTGAGCCTTAAAACAAGTTTAGGTGAGGTAAACTGGAGCCGTTTTGGATTGTGAGTTGGATTGCCAACCCTACAGGACTTTAGAAGCCCTAGTCAGCAGGGCTGGCACAGAGCTCACAAGGGGTCCTCAAGTGGCAGACAACCCAGGATTATCCTACTTACATGTCTATGTATTTCCGATGTGCACTTGGAGGATCATGAGACTTCGTACGCCGGGTTACAAGTACCCTAACTAAGGGGTCTAACTTAACATAACTATAGCTGCCTTACTTATAGCTTATATAACCCTACTTACTAATTTCCCTGAACTTTAAAGTAACAACCCTGTATAAGCGTCCTGCTTCATGGCATGATATGGGGAAGCCCAATTTCTAGGGTTCGGCTTTGCGGTCGGCCATTGAGAACCAGTCGCAGTATTTCAGTTTGATGATGTAAGCAATGCTGGAGATCAAAAATGTGCAGTTACATATAGAGGCCTTAATAATCAGAATAGGGTTCGGGATGATGCTATACCCATCTTAGTTTCTATTGAATCAATTCTCAATCCGGGGAACCCTAAACCCTAAACCCTAAACCCTAAACCGGGGATCCTGGGAGCAGGGCTATGGGACTCTCTCGGAAGTCATGGCCCTGCATGGCTCCCTGCCTGTGAGCCGCATCACCAGCTGGTCCTCTCTAGGGTTTAGGGTTTAGGGTTTAGGGTTTAGGGTTTAGGGGAGAACCAATGCAATCCGGCTTTGGAACAGAGGGCTTCAGTGTTGCTCCCTAGACCCTCAACCCTCAACCCCTAGACCCCTAAACCCCTAGACCCTAAACCCCTAAACCCCTAGACCCTAAACCGTAGACAGGGCTCCGGGCCGTGGGGGGGTTAGACTTCCGGCTGTTCATTGTGAGACATCTATGGGGCCTGAAGTTTAGGGTTTAAGGCTTAGGGGTTTGGGGTTTAGGGTTTAGCGGTTTAGGCTGTAGGCATAAGTTGGTTCCATTCGACACAACCGATTCAGCAAAGTCTTGTTCGGAGAAGTTCCGAAAGCAATGGCCCTGAGAGATCTAATGTAGGGGCCTTGACAACTAGAACAGCGCACTGAGTTACAATAAGACTATGATTATTGACTACCCTAAAACTCCATGTGCCCACATAGTAGATGCTTAGGCCTTAAAGTACCTATATAGGGACCCCGTTAAGGCCTAAGTATCTACTATAAAGGGTACATGGAGCCTTTGGGCTAGAAGGGGGTAACCTGACTAACTACTCCGACCCCAGTACTCTCAGATTGGGGACTGATGGTTCACCTCCAGGATTTAGGGTTTAGGGTTTAGGGTTCAGGGTTCAGGGTTTAGGGTCTAGGGTTTAGGGTTCAGTGTTCAGGCTTTAGGCTTTAGGGTTTAGGGTTCAGAAGTTCAGGCAGCTCTCTACACCATAAATTAAAGGAAACTACAGGTGGGGAGTTTAGGGTATATAGGGCTTCTCTAGGCTTCCATAAGGTATATAGACCTTCTCTAAGGCTCCTATAACGGTAACTACCCACCTGAAAATGTCCTAGAATAAAAAAACCTCAACATCTCAAACCGTACAAACACATAGGATACATTACAGCCGAATGATGAACGAAACCCTCAACTAGACACAACACCGAATATAACCCTTATCCGCTAAACCAATGTCTCTTATCTGTAATGGCCCAAACCCCCCAAGCCCTGAAACCCCTGACCCGAAACCAAAGACCGAAGCTCGCACAGTTATGGTCCTTCTTTGTCAGCAGCGGGGCCGTCTTGCCCAGGGCCCAGCCACCGTGCTTCTTGAGGATCATCGTCGGGTCGTCGTACATCCTAGGGAAGGCACGGCCCCCACCATTTCCTTGCTTTGGAATAGCTAGGGTTTATGGGTTTCGGGTTTCGGGCTTTAGAGTTGAAGGTTTAGGGTTTGGAGGGCTTAGGGTTATATTTTTGGGGGATTCAGGGAAGAAAGCTTAGAGCTTAGGGAGTAGAGGCGCTTAGGGTTGCGAGGAGCCATCGGAGCTGCGTGAAAATCCTACCGTCATTCTCCCTGCTAATATGAAAGAGTGGCACTGTTGCAGGAGCTGTTGGAAGGTATGGCCATATTCCCCAGATCCACCATTAACCCTTAAAGACACCGGTGCCGTGCTACCTAGTAGCTCTTCAGTCTTTAGACCTTAAACCATAAACTATAAACCCAAGGCCCTATTTAGTTGTTGTTCGTTTATTGGGAAATCTCAAGTCAAGATACTAAGTGTTCGTATAACACCCTCTATACAACACTCAAAGTCCAGGGCTTAGGGTTGAAGATGTAGGGCACTTTCCTTCCCCACCAAGAACTCTAAACCCTAAACCCTAAACCACCCCTAAACCCTAAACCACCGCTAAACCCTAAACACCCTAAACCCTAAACCACCCCTAAACCCTAAACCCTAACAAATAAAAGGCAGTCAAGGTTCCTGGCATGGTCGAAGCTGACATCCTTCGCGTCTGCCATGATGTCTTCGTCACCTGGGTTGTCGCAGTGGAGTTTAAGGGCTTAGGGTTTTTAGGGCTTTTAGGGCTTATGGTTTAGGGTTTAGGGCTTTAGGTTCAGGGTTTAGGGTCTAGGGTTTAAAACTTGATATAAGGCGCCACAACTACAAGGGTATATAGGGTGCTTATTATCTTTTACATGTGCATTTCACTTCTTCTGGTCACTTGTCTCAGGAATTGAAGCCCCGCGACAAGAGAGCCAAGTCGCCATCCACAAGGACATCGTTGACCGGCAAGTTGTACATACCTGCCGAGAAAGCATGCAAATGGCTTAGAGGTCAACCCTAAACCCTAAGCCCTAAGTGGCTTAGGGGTCTTGGAAGGAGAGATATGCTTTGAAAGCCAGCATGGCGAACATACTATAGGGGCCTTAACAATTAGAATAGGGTTTTGGGGTATATTGTACTCTAATTACAATCAGGAACCCCCAAAATAGCATGGGTAATTATATTAAGTAAGGCCCCTGTAGCAACCCTAGCATGACAATTTCCGAGACGAACATGCACAAGAGCATGTTTCCTGCTTGGTGGCGTAAGCAACAACTCAGCTCATGTCCATGCCACAATTTTCGGCTACCCCTACGGTTCAGGGTTTAGGGGTTTAGCGTTTCTGTTTTAACCGCCCTCTTCTCCTGACTGTTACCAGGTCGCAGAAAAACTTCCGAAGCCGGGCATCTCGGATCAACCGAGGACTTGCACAGTACAAGGTGCAGGCTGCAAAACCACGAAGACAGTTTAACCCAGATAAGTTCCCTAGCCCGCACCACTGAAGACAAGACGTCTGGCTCACTGCAAAGGGCGATGCTGCCTATGCGCTGTACTATCACGGCAAGATTTTATCAAAAGCCAATAGCATATCCAACCCTTTCAAACCATCAAACCACACACAACCCTAAACCCTAAACCCTAAACAAGGGTTGAGGGTTTTTTGGTTTAAAGCCTAGGGTCACCCCCTGGCTCACAGGAGCATGCTGAGTGAAGCTGAAAGTCCGCAGTCGCAACATGGCTGTGTGCCCTGCAAGCCCCAAGCCGGTTTCTGAAATCATAAACCCCTAAGCCCTACACTCCCTGCGGCTTAGGGTTGAGGGTTTAGGGTGTAGGGTGTGGGGCTTCAGGATATTAGGGTCTCAGCTTTACAGTCAGGACAAGCATTGGGGGCAAGGCCAAAAACTGACAGCCATCACATTGTGTAAGAGCTTTGTAGCATGTAACGCCCACACATGGGTAGTTTTCTATATTGGGGTCCCTTTTAGGTCCCCAATATAGTACGGCACCCTTATAAAAAGGACTCTAAACGGGACCCTGATTTAGAGGACTGCCCACATTCTTATTGCATCCAAGTAATTCAAAGTTGTAGTAACAAGAGGGGCACAGTTTGTATCAAATGCAGCAAGAATGTCAGGGACTACGTATAGGGAGTATAGCAAATCACCAACATCTCAGGAGCTTGCAGCAGCTTCTGAGGCCCGGCAAAGAACAAGTCAGCAAACCTAAATCCTATATAAACCCTACCTGGACCCTAGGAGAACCTACCTTTTTAGGGTTCCTTACTATGATTTCTTTGTATAAGTCCTTAAAGACGTAGTTTGTTTGGGGTTCAGGTAAACCCTAAAACACCAAGCCAAGGAACGCATAGCATCGATCATCTCGTCGTACTGGCCCTCGAAGAATCGGTCTTGCACCAGGAAAGCCTTTCGAGAAAACCCCCAACAACCTTTCAAGGGCTCCTTGATTTAAGGGAGCTATAAGGGTTCCTTTAAGGGTTCCTATGGATTCCTTCTCGAGCTCTTTTAAGGGTTCCTTTCGGGGATCCTCAAAATGCTTACCTAGGGACCTTTATTGGAACAGGGATGCTTGGTTGAGGGTCACCAGGGAGACTGCAGATCTATGCACGGAGGGCCGGCCCGCATCCCCAACCCACAGCTTGCAACCAAAATGAGGTGTAAGGTTGCAGCCAGTGCATTGGCTCGCTATTCAGGCTTCTTTTTTACAGGGGTTTAGTCCCCCTCTATTTCCTGCGCCAGTGGCGCTACCCTTCTCGCGTATGTTGGGGCACCACTCGCATGCGCGGCCCCGCCGCTTTCGACTTGGCCGTCACCATCGGCGCCGTGGCTTCGTCGGCCCTTCATGCGGGCAAGGTTGCTGCCGGCTAGACCGCAAGCGCAGCTTCCAGGAAACAGAAACTCTTTGCCGTGGCCAGGGCTTGCAGTTTGTTCCCCTCGTTGCCGAAGCCACTGAGGGGGGCTGGGGTCCGACAGCGGTCAAAACCTGGCGTGAGCTCGGCGGCCTTTACGCCGCCCCGTCTCGGCCTGACTGCTAGCGAGTCGAGGGCAATGAGCAGCTCCTCCAGTCGCTCGGCGTGACGATGCAGCGGGACAACGCCCGGGCGGTTCTCCGGCGTCTGCCGGAGGTCGGCGAGGAGGGCCGGCCCCGGGCCCCTTCCTGAGCCGTGAGCACGTAGCCTGCCGTAGTCTGCTCTCCTGCTTCTCGCTCTCACTCTCACTAGCTCTTGCGTCAGCTTTTGCCACCGGGGCTGTCATCTTCCGCCGGACTGTGCCGGGGGCCGGCTTAGCCGCATCCCAAGCCGGGGCTTGCTTTTAGTCGAGCCTGGGGGCGGCTTAGCCGCGTCCTGGGCCTTCCTGGACAAACACCAGGAACAATCGCACCGAGCTCACGGTGTACGCTTTAGGGTTTCGGGTTTACTTACTCTTGCTACTTACACTCTTTTAGCTCTGGCCTAAACCCCTGAACCCTATAAACCCTAAACCCTGAACCCTGAACCCTAAACCCCTAGAACCCTAAACCCTAAACCCTAAATCCTGAACCCTAAACCCTAAACCCTGAACCCTAAACCCTGAACCCTCTACACGATGTCAGCTATTGGCGACCTGGGCCTTCTTCCCGCAGATCTAGACCCGAGGCCCCTATCCCCGGTCCCTAAACGAGAAAGAATAGACCCAAGCCCCAAATCCTAAACCTCAACCCAAGCAGCTGAAGTAGGGGCCTTATTAATTAGTTGGGGTTTTGGGCTCTTTTATAGTATAATTATAATAAGGAGCCCTAAGAAAAATATTGGAAATGATTAAATTCCAAACCCTCAGCCCTAACCACCTGCGCCCACAACACCAGAACAAAACGCCTCAACCCCAACCCAAGCCCGAAATCCTTGAGCTTTCAGCCTGCAGCCCTGCATCCGAAGGTCCCCTTGGGATGAAACCAATGTCTAGGACATTTTCAGGTGGGTAGATACCGTTGTAGGAGCCTTAAAGAAGGTCTATGTACCTTATGGAAGCCTTCTAGAAGCCCTATATACCCTAAACTCCCCACCTGTAGTTCCCTTGAACAATGGCCCTGTATTTGGGGTTTAGGGTTTAGGGTGTTAGCATGTTTTGGCGGTTAAGCTTAAGGGCCAGGGTTTGAGTGTTTAGGGTCCTACTAGGGTTTTACCACCCCTGTTTCAAAGGACCTCAACTCCCACTCTAACCCTGAACCCCAAACCCTAAACCCTAAAAGCCCTAAACCCTAAACCTTCAAAATCATAAACCCTAAACCCTAACAATCCTAAGCCCTAAACCCTAAACCCTAGACCCTAAAAGCCCCAAACCCTAAACCCTAGAAACCCTGAACCCTAAAAGCCCCAAACCCTAAACCGTTAAAACCCTGAACCCCTTTTGCAGTGTCCGAACCCCCGACCGGCGGTCCTGGACGTAAGGCCCAAGGAGGAAGGTCCGGGGAATCTCACCGTAACCCGACCTAAAGCGGGCGGGTTTAGGGTTTAGGGTTTAGGGTTTAAGGAAAACTGTCGGGCACAAACCCACACACAAACAGATCACAAATGATCACAACCTGGCCTAAAGCACCGTAGCAGAACTTAGACCTCAAACCCTCAGTGACTACGGCTGACCTGCCGGCTGTAGACCTGGTCTCGAGGAGGCAGGATTTTTAATACACACGAAATGACAAAAACGAAGGCAACCGACAGGTTCTCGGGCAATGACTGCTGAACGCATGGAGGTTTTGAAATAGCAGCAAGCATCTCCTGCCTCTCTCTCTCTCTCTCGTGTATATATATATATATATGTATGTATATACACACATATGCAAGCAGGAAGTAGTTACCAACCAACTGGTGTCTGATGGGCATTTGAGACTTCGACATCTATCTATACTTGCTTGTGCAATCTGCACCCGTGTGTGTGTGTGTGTGTGAGCATGCATCTCCTCTCTATACATACATGTGTGAATGGGGTTAGGGTTTAGGGTTTAGGGAATGCGGGTTGTATGCATGAGTGCATGCGTTCTGTAGTTTAGTTAGCAGGTCCCAAGAGAGCCAAGCCGCCACTGGTCGTCCATAGTCTCTGTGATGTAGTTGAGCAGCACATCGTGATTAAACCTCGGCTATTGCTGATTTGAAGTAAACTGCCCTTCTAGGGAAAAGCTAAAAACTAGGCCCCACAGCGGGTGGAAATTTAATGTTCACGCTGGTCTGCGCGGGTCCAAATTTTTTCCACATCCGCGCTCACACAGAACATCAACAACATCGAGACGTCCAATTCTTGTGTTCTTGCATGGTTACGGTTTCTTGACAAGAGATAGTTCTCTGACGTCAAAATTGACAAACGTTTTTGTCGTGCAAGATTCAATCGAAAGACTAAAACAGGGGGCTTTACAAGTCAAGCTCCTGAAGACTGGAGCTTCAAAGTTTCAGAAGAAATTCATGAACCACCCCTGGCATGCAATCAACAAATCACGAAAAGGAATACGTACTGCGCCATTGGAGCTGAAGGAAACAAGCACACGCACAAAACAAAAGGCACACACAAAACAACGAACACACACACACACACACA